GCAGGGGTCCCTCTCGAGGTGAAACTCGAAAATCACCACTGATGGTGCGCCACATTGAAACAGTATCCACCTATCTACCGAGAGCCACCACCTACGACGACATCCTCTTAACCCGGACCCGAAGAACAACCAACGACCAAAAGCTGTTTAATGTGAGTAGGATAGGCTTGAATAGCAGTGTCATCCATAAAATGGAGGAACTCACTTTCGCCAGCAAAGCTCCGATGCTGGTATCCAGACTCAAATTCAGCTTGTACGTCGCGTCGGTGGACACCGGATCAAAAGTAACCGGCATCGCCAGTCCGAACGGTTCACGTAGCGGATTGGTTCCAGCCGACACCGAATTGGTTCGATCCGAGGTTAGTTCGGGTTGCACGAAGCGCGGCTTGTTGTCGTTCAGATCCAGCACGTGAATGGTGACCGTGGTCATCGCGGTCTGATGCACGGGGATCCCGTTATCCTCCGCGATCACATCGACCATGATCATCGGGGTTTGTTCCCGGTCGATCACTCCGTAGAGTGTGATCTGTCCATCATGAGTGACCTGATGCAAAAGGGACAAGTTCAACAGTTCGAATTGATTTGATCTCGAACGTGTTATCGGCCTCCGAAATAGCAAACGATCAATTTGGATACACTTACCGAAGGGAGTAGGTCCTGCTGGGTTGCCAGGCTGAATTGTGCAGATAGTCTAAACAGATTTCCCGAAGTCGGAAAATTGTAAGTTTTACAGAAAAACAAACACTCGATAATGAACTTGGCCTGATCTCACGGTGTATCCACTCCCAGTTGCAAACGCATATTCGATGAAAATATGGGCTCACACTGGCTACACACAGCTAGTTTCACAATGAGCTCAAACCAAACTGGAACTACAAACGCAATCATTTTTATCAAGGTTTAATAGTGTGCTGAAGAAATCTGGCATCCAAAATGTGACGCCCTAAATGAAATTGCAAAGTTCCCAGACGTTTCTCTCGTCAATCGTTAGATACACTGACCCTCAGCAAACTGAATATTCTAACCTTATCAACGTGAATTTCACTTTCGGCTGAGCTAAATACGTTTCATGTTACCTCTTTAGCGATTTTCCACAATGATCAATAATATCATAAATCCTCCTCAGAGCATGGTGGGCATGTTTGAGTAGAATTTTTCCGGATAACATGCAATGGGCGGAAACGGAATAGTCATAAGTGTGGTGTAAATCAACTGAACAGAGCGAGAGGGTAGAAGGATTTACCTTGACGAGCTGTGAACCGGACAACGAGGAGCCAGGGATTAGGCGCCCGTGGCTAACGGAATCACGAGTTGGAACAGCCAGTCGGTAATGCACTGTCCCGTTTCGTCCCGAATCGGCATCTGTGGCGTTTAAAGTGCCCAATATTTGATGGATTGTCGAGGACCCGTAGCTCTCCACGACCTTTTTGTGCAAAAATTCACCGGAGTTTGGAATAGTCAAGCAGTAACGGGAGTGAGGAGCGTAGTGGGGTGGATGAGTGGATGGGAGCGAAGAGGAAAAAAGCACATAGTCAGCAATAAGTAGCGCAAATATGCGAGTAGTAGCGCAGCTCAGATGCGGTCACCGTGTTGTGGTTTTTTGACAGAAACAAGAG